ATCCGCCAATAATCCTGTAATATTGCCAGCCAGAGTTCTGGGCCCTAATCCAAGGGCCTTATTTTCCTGATGAGTGTCAGGCTGCTCCAAGATGAAGTGAGAGATACAAATCTGGACCCTGGGGCATTTAAGGTCCATCCAACTTTATATAGAGGAAGAATACAAATGTGGTTCAAGGATGATCCCTCTTGACCTTTGTGCGAAGGTTTGTTTTTTTCCTCTTCATCCTCAAACCAGGCCGGCGAGTGAGAGCCGGATGAAAAGAAATGCCTGGATCTCATATTTTCGAGGATGGTCCCCTTAACGAGGGGATAACTCTCCAGATGTATACAATGCGGGAATCTTGCTTTTAAACTCGATTCCCACGGGGTGTTTTGGGTGGTGAAACCAATAATGCAGGGCTATGGAACCGTAGCCAGCAAAAACGGAACCCCAGGTGGGTTTCTGACCCACTCTTTGAGATGATGAGTTAGGATCAAAGAAGAAAGAAATGAACACATAGGCAATAACCCTTTTCAACACCAACAACACATATTCAAGGGATCACCTAAATGATGTTTATTCAGATACAGTTGAATAACCCCCTGTAAGTCAAATTTCTAGGGACCAGGAAAACAATTTGACTTATGAAAGGGTTTTACTTCTGGAGGTTACAAGTTAAGGAAACAAACACTTTTGTTGTGAGGAGAAGTTAAAATAGTGTGGGAAATTGTAAATGAGGATATTCTGGGCCTAAACTTGCTCCTTAATGAATTTACCCCTTGCTGAGCATTCTCCAGTCTATTGCTCAATAAAATTGTCTGTTACTTCAGATGATTAATTAGGCATACTTCCTGGTCTGCAGACCCAAAATGTTTGATGAACACTGCTCTGGATCTGTTTTCCCCAACCTTGTTAGCCCACCAACCAAAAAATGTTCATACCCTTTTTTGTGGACCTGCAAATTTTCAAAAATTGATCTGCATACCTACAAAGCTTGGTGTGATTTGTACACACTGAAAAAAAGTGTTGCCTGAAATACTTGATGGCAGGTATTCAAAAAGTGTCTGATTTTTTGCAAAAAGAAATCAAGTTGAGAACCAATGAAGCAGGTAGTGGAATGTCTTCAAAAAATTAGAAAGGTGGGCTCAATAAAAAATTCATCAGAATGGAAAAATTAAATCATTTATTTCATCAGGTGCATGTTTGTTTGAAGTGATATTAGCAGAAAGCTAAAACTTTTATTTTTCATGAGATAATTTCAACTGCAATTGTCTTGCAAAATTTCTAGATGAACGTACNAAGACAGATTACAAAAAAATGGATCAAAAGGAAAAAATGCTCCTGAACTTTCTACTCAATAACTGCTTTGAAAGTCACACTCAGAATGATCCATTTTTATGTCTTTTCACCTTTTTTATAACATGTTTTTCTTTCATGCCTGTGGTTCCTGTGGTCTTGAGTCTTTGATCTTGTTGTGTATATTTACACTTCTCAAGATGTAGTTAATGTTTGGTGTATCCTTTATAGTAGAGAGAGTAAACACAATATTCCAGCAGTATTATATTTATTGACTTTCATCAATAAAGCACACAAGACAAGACAAGACCTCAGAGGATTCCTACTTGGGATTCTACTCAATGGTCAGCGCACTAATGCCTGATTTTGGGAAGATGCTCCTGGTGCTTATATACTCCAGAATATCATGGACAAGGTCAGATGTACCAGGAAGTACCAGGAAGTGTACTCCTTAATTGAGGGACAGATCCTGGAAGGGGAGGATGGAATGCAAGGCTACGTCCTTCCAGGAAGGTCAATATATGACACAATAAATATTGAATATATTAGCCTCAAGAATTGCCTCATCAGGAAGATAAATTAATCTCTTCCTTCTTTTCTCTTGTCTTCTTTGTTTCACCTGAGTCATACAATATTCTTTTAAGGACTCAGCTCAGAGTCTTTCATTATATTCCTTTTTTTATGACCCAGTTCAGAGTTGTTTATTATTTACGACTCTGAGCTCACGTGGGCTCACCTGTGTGTGCATCATCAGGTGTTTTTCCCAATGATAACAATCTTTGTTGTCTTTCTTCTGATTGGTCCTTGGTGGTGCCACCAAGTCTGCCATGGTTGCTCCAGATTTGGTTTGTCCTTGATTTTGTTTCCAACAATTTTTCTTCTGCTTCATCAATTCATCCCTTTTTGGAGTAATGTACTTTCTTAATTAATTTTTTTCCAGGACACCTGGTGTTGGACAGGCCATTTTCCCAGCATTGCTCTTTGTTGATAAAAAAGAAAGAATCAAGATTCGCTGGATGGGGAAGGAAATGTGAATGGAAGAATGATGTAGGAATTCAATTGATCAAGCATCTTTACTTCCATGGGGGGAGTTGCAAATGATGGCATTATATGTATTGAGGCCTCAGCAGTCAATCAAATCGCGTTTTTCAGTCAAGTCCATATACTCCATCCAGGCGGTGGTGAGAAATTCAATGCTTTATATATTTCATCAACACCCCTTGGATGATTCGATCACGCCTGTCCACAGTAATACGCTTAACAAATGTCTGCGGCTCTCGCCCGGCCCTCATCAAGCCTGTGTTTGTCTCCTAATGGGCGATAAAAGCCTGCATGCATAATGTATGGGTACCCAGCTTTTGCCCTTCTTTGACCGGATGCGACCCCCGCCATTGAACGGGTCCCTCTCGGGTTCCGGGGAGGAGGAGGAGCCTGTTCCATCATCACTATGGGGTTCCCGTGTGTCGTCGTACAATATAGTATATTGCTCGAAATCCGCGCAGGCGCAGCCACAGTCCGGTTTCAGCCGCAAGTCCGTATAGAGTTTGAAACATCAGCTCAAAAAAAATTTTTTTTTATATTACAAGTGATAAAAATGGCGGAAGGGAAATTACGAGCTGGGAAAAAGTCGCGTTCGCGCTCGTCGTCGCACAGCCACAGCCCCACGTACGAGTGTCGCTTTTGCCAGCGACAGTTTGGCAAGGTGTACAACCTCATGATTCACGAGAGGTCTCACAAGGAGAATTCTCCCAGCACGGTTATGTATCATTGTCAGGTGTGCGACAAGGGATTCAACAAGCAACAGGCCTTGCAAGATCACAAGTGAGTGTCAGCAATGATCATGATGATGATGATTGCATCGTTTGTTTCACGCAGACCCTGATGATGAAATTTAGCGGATCCTCGTGTGCGAAAAAGAACGTTCTAACTTTGTGAAAGCATGGAGAAGTTATCAGATCTAAAGATTTTTTTTTTAATCTACTGGTTCATGTGCTGGGCATTTGAGAGGATCATTCTCCGATTACTTCTGGGTTTGCTTCCAAGCCATTTTTAAAAAGTGTTGGTTCATTTCAGTTGTGTTTTTTTTTTAAACCAAATTTAGTTTCTGCACACCAATGCAGAGCTTTAGCTCACCAATGATAGAACTTCAGAGTTTAACTCAGTCTCTTTTTTCTTTCTGGTGGGCTATTTTGTCACACTTCATGACCTATCTGGAATAAAGATGCCATCCTAAAAAAAAGGAAAAAAAAACCTAGCTCTGTGGGTCTTGGTTTCCTGAACAAAATACAGTGGACCCTCAATTACCAAACTGCTTGCTTAACAAAATTTTGGTTTTGAGGAAAATCCTGTTGGTTGAGAAAACTGATGTTGGTTGTCAATTTTTTTTCTGGGGAAATGTCCTGAAAGTCACAGATTCAAAATGTTTATGACAAGGCTGAAATTTATGGTGAGACCCAAAGATGCAGATGTAATTGGTGCATCCAGAGTGTCTTCATGCTGAAGTGTCCTTAAGTCAGGTCTCATTTTCCCCTAGACTTTAATGCTAACGGATTTAATTGGTTCTCTTTTTGTCAAAAATTAGAAATATGTCCTTAAAAAAGTTGATAAAAATAGTTTCCATCAACTTCAAGTTGCAGAAAACAATGGTGCAGGACAACCACATAGAATCTGATGTTTTGGTATCAAAAGGAGATCAAAAAGCAAAGAAAAGAATAAGTCTTACTAGAATATGCGCAGATGATGGAAAAATAACTTCAAAAAAGGAAGCACAAGATCAACTTGCTTTTGATTGTGAATTGGAGTGAATTTATCAGGAAATATTTTTTTTTAATTTTCCAGCATGTATCCAGTAAATTGATGATTTGTTCAAAAGATATAAAAATAAAAATAAAAATTTCAACTCTTTCTGAACATTTCAGAAAAGTGTCCCTAACTCAAGCCAATATCCAGATGTTGGGCCTGATTTTTTGAATATCAAGTGTCCCTAAGTGAAATTGTCTTTATGTCAAGGTGTCCACATATTGGGGTTTAACTGTACAATCTAAGTGCAAATAATTCACCTTTGAACTGTAAAGAAAATTCTTCCCTTCTGGCACTCTAGTGTGTGTAATTTTGTGTTTCAGCATTTGTTTAAGCTAGCTTACTATTTTATATATGCTCTTCAGTGACTTGCTTTTCTGTGCATGGTTTTTCTAGTTTTTCAAATGTTACAAAGGTCTATTCAATTTCCCCTTGTTACATTAAAAAAAATCATCTTCATCAAACATTGGGTTTGGATGCGGGAGTCTTGGTTGTGCCTTGTGAATGCTGAAAAGCGGCAAATAAAGTGTTCTGTTCATTCATTCATTCATCAAAAATGTATCCTGAGTACACTGCTGGCTTATTTGAGCTTTTCTGTTGTTGTTTTCACTCCATGAAACACTTTGGAAACATGCTGGGCTCATATAAGATGGACAAACAACTTATACTGATTATAGTTTATGTCTTGCATTTTTGTATGCAACGTTCAATTGTGTTTTGGGTTCATGGAATTGATTAAATTCTTTCCATGGAAGTCTATGGGAAAGTAAAATTCAGTTAACAAACTTTTTTCAGGAACCAATTAAGTTTGTTAACCAAGGGCCTGCTGTATTAATCCTTCATAACTGCACAAGCAGTGAATGATGTCCATTGCAGCTCTTTTTTAATCATCCAAAGATCAAACCTTGATTTAGTTAAGTATCAAGTTTGAGAACTTTATTCTGCTGTTGGTAAACTGGACAAGTTTTGAGTGAAGATTTTACCAAATACTAGTGGAAACTAAGGAATGCTTTGTTTTTCCTTTCTCTTTTCAGTTCTATTTATAGGTTGTTCCACCAATCCATCCTTGGTTCCGACTAATGACAACAGGAAACCTGCAAGTGAATGCGATGTTAAGTTCGGTGCCTTGTTCAGTGACTGTTTGGATTCCAAGTCGAAGGAAGAGAAACCATCTTCCGCAAATTCAGCAGTGCCATGATGGCGATTTGATCATCGTGGGAAATGTGCGTGCTATTATTCAAGCCAGCTGTGCGACAATGGCAAAGTTTTTGGGTTTTTGAAAAATGCATGGATCCGTACCCGTGCTTTTTTAACTCATTGAAAAAAATTATGCAGCAAGAAGAAAGAAATTGCAACTGGGTGCTTTTGATGTGTGTGTGTGTCTGCTGTGTGTGTGTGGTGTTCATATAATGATTGCAAAGTACATGTATTCTTTGCTGTTTGTGACTGCTTATAAATGTGATAGCTGTCAAAAAAAATTCTGTAAGTGTTTCACGTCATTTCAATCTTCACGTCAACTGATTCTGTACCTCGGAGCAGGAAATCAAACACTGTATAGATTTTTTGGTGGAGGCAAGATCTGTTCAGTTGTATTCCCAATTTTTTTATATTGAAGTGTTTAAGATGGAGGCCAACAAACCACTGAAAAAAAAAAGAGTGAGACTTACAAATGTTCATGCCTGGGAAGATCAACCACCCCAAAAATGATCCAAAAATTGCAGTTGATTGTGCTAAACTGAGGTTACTTGCACTTATGTGACTGCATGCTAATGACTGATGTTAAAAGTATCTCAGGAAATAAGAAAAAAACCCAAAAAAGATGAGGGGTCAGGGTCATGTGGTTTAAAATGAGATTCAGTAGGTGCCTGATGCAGGTGATGTTGGTGAAGATAAGATTCAGGAATAAGTGTGGTGAGATCCCAAGATGCAGATGTAATTGGTGCATTATTGAAAGTGTCTGTAAGTTGAAATGATCCTAGGTTGAGTCTGGTTTTCCCATGGAATTACATTAATAATTTTCATCTGGTGTTTTATGGAAAAATAATGTATCAGAAATCCATGAAGAAGTGTCTGCCAATTGAAATTGATTCAGTACATATCTTTCCACTAAATAAGAACACTTGGAGCATTGAATACTGTACCTCTGTACAGTATACATTGAAATGTTTGCATCTGTAAAAATAGCATTCAAGTTGCAAGGAGAGGAGGAAGTCCATCTATGCTGGAGGTTTTTTTTTAATTAGCTGAATGGATGAGAAAATGATGAGGGAAATAACAAGAATTTTTTTTGTATAGATTTTGGGTTGAAATATCTGTTTCTTACAATTCAGCCTGATGAAAGTCACTTTTCTCAAAACTTATTGGCAATTTTTTCATGAAATGTCTGCATGTCAAGTCAGTGTCCACATGTTGGGCTTTTTTATGCCTTTTTTATTGGAAAGCGTATGTCCTTATGTCTGTATGTTGAGATGTCCACATGTGGGGGGTCTCACTGTAGCTAGGGGCAAAGGACTTGACTTGATGAGGGCCAATGAGGTGATAACTTCATACTTATTATGTTTGGCACTTATCTTGTCTTGGTGATGTTGGTGAAGATGAAATTCAGGAATAAGTAGTTGAGGGCAAATGACTTCTTGATGAGTGCAGATGGGGTGATTATATCATACCTAATATGCTTTCCACTTTTCTGGTTATTGCTCTACATTTTTATGTTCATCCATCATTTTAGCTCCTTCTCTATGGATGGACCCTTCTCAAGAAAGACAAGCTGAAGGGGGAAAACCAAATTGTTCCAATTATTGCGAAAGTCCATCAGCATTTGGATTCCTGAATGTTTGATGAAAACTTTCTGAACTTCTCATTTTCCTGCATTTTATTAATCCTAAGATGTAAGCTATTTCAATACTTTCCCAGTTCTGTGCCACAAAAGTCCTGCTGTATTAATAATTTGCTTGTGTCCATCTCCTCATGTTAGCTTAGAGAAGAAGCGCGGTTTGTTCTTTTTGAAAGGAACAAAGCCACCAAGTAACAAGTAAAAAAAGATGGACTAAGATCTGACCTGGAAAAGCAGCATGAGCATTCTTTATTCCAGTGGCAAAATGAAATCCTGATGAGAGTGGTACAAGCTAGTGCATGCCCATGCTGTATAGATGATCACAGACTGAGATATAGGTTGGGATGGAGCCTCTCAAGGTATGTGAGATAATATTGAAACAGATGAAGGAAATGTGCAAGACTAACATTGTGCATGGAGGAAATGTGCGAGAAGAATGGAGGGGACTCTGTTAGGGCGGCCAAAAAAATCCAAAACTGGACAAAATCCTGATCATGGAGTTCTTTATCCTTGAAGCTTCATACACCAGACAAAAAAGGAGAAATAAATTCCGTGATATGCTTGAGAAGGTCACAGCTCATCTTTGCCTTCACCACTTGATTGTCTTGGATACTTCTTTCACTAACTCTCTCATGCAATACTACAACAGAACATTTTGAATCTCCTTCGGTTTCTCCAGGATTTCTCAGTGGAGCTGGTTTTCTGAACCTTTCTGCTTCACAGAAACCCCTGGAACAGCATACCAATTACCAGGCACCATCACCAACCAATGTGGGAGTCTCTTAGCTTAAAATCTTTTCCCCTCTAATGAGAAATTTTGTTTTGCAGGAGACAAATTCTGGTAATAGCCCCAAATTAATACCAAGATACCAATAAAGAAAGAAATTCAGTCAAAAATGCAAAAATATATTCCAGCAGAAATAAATGCATATTGGTTTTTTGATGCACAGAATGATTTCAAATAGCCCAAAAATGTACTTATACAGTGGGCCCCCATCTTACATCATCAATCCATTCCAGGATGGACATCATAACATGAGGCTGTCCTAAGTTGAAACCCTATTTCCCTTAAGATTACATTATAAAAAAATTAATTTGTTCCAGAGAAAAAATATTAAACTAAAATTACCTTTATATTTCAACTTTTTAGTTCCTCCTAAACTTAAACTCCTCCTAAACAAAATTATTCAGCTATAATTAAATGCGCAGGGCAGTACAGAACACACAAAACTCAAAATCCCTCCTAAACA